CCCACAGGAGAAAGGAGTCTCAGTCGGCATTCATCATGGCCCGAGCACTGTAATTTCCACACACTGATCTAAACGTACAATAGACGCCATCAGCCCGCTCACACTGAGAGGCTATCATTTCCACTGCAGGCATCCTGTGTGTGTGTATGTGTATGTGTGTATGTCGTGGTGTGCCGTTTTTTGTTTTTTTTTTGTGTGTGTGTGTGTGTGTGTGTGTGTTGTGGTGGGGGTGGGGTGGGGAGGGGTTGTGGGGGTGTGAGCGGAGACAATATCTACTCATCATAGAAGCGTAAGTAAGTAGGAAGCCGGCCTGTTTGTGAACTGAAGAGGTAAGTAACAGAGTAAAATGAACCAAAAGCATGTCTGGAGAGTCTGGAGGATTGGACGATGCAAATGGCGTCAGTTCTATCAAACTGGATAGGTGTTTTCTTAATAATAAAAGATCACTTGAAGGTTTTTGTTGATAGAAAGAAGTTTTGTCTCTTCCCCCAACTGTATTCAGTTCACTAATTTAATCTTGATAATGATGATGGACAGATTGGTTTATCCAATCACCTCCAAAGTACTTTTTTAAAGTGGCCTGCCCTTTTACAACTATTCTCATGACCTCCAGATGGTTCTGGTTAGTCAACCATCCGCGCATTTAAGTTCTTCATGTTATAAAGACCCAGTGTGTAGGATTAGTGGCAATGTAGTGGTGTATGCAGATTGCATTTACCTCGCTTCCCAAGTAAGAGGAGAAAACCTACATGAGAAGCAAAGTAGACACGGTGATGTGAAAGTCGCACCCACGATACCCATCACGCTCCACCCTGAAACACTCACCACAGCACAGCACACATGACCCTATTACACACACAATACCTGATCTATACTGTAGAATATTTCTTTCAATGGTCTGGAACCATCTTGTTGTAGAAGGCAGGAACCCTCTTCTCTCTGCTACTGTTGAGATATTAAGACCAGGCGCTCTCGCCTGTACTTATAAATGTACAAGTGGGTGAAGATGACCTTAGAGCTGAGTTCCCAGCATAGAGAATGCAAACCTGGTTGGATTAGGATTTTGTTTTTTGAGTAATAGATATTT